AATTAAGTAATTAATGTTGGTTAGAGAGATGAGGAAGGATTCAGCCCAAGGAGCAGGGTACTCTGGTTTCCTCCAGTTCTCGCTAGACATGAATGTGTAGCAAAGGGATCTAGACAGAGTGGGAAGAACACACATCAAATCCTAGCAGCCAGTTTTAAGAGAGTTTTATTAAGAATAAGGTTTAAGAGAGTCAATATGAAAGGCAGAATGGTGCATGAAAGGCAACAGGCTTGAAATGTTTATCTATCCTTAGGCAACTACTTATAAATAGGCTTTGGGTCTCCTCATGAGTAGCATCCTGGACAGTCAGATGAATAATAAGGGATAGTGAGGGACAAAACAATGATGGCAACATTCCACTTTTAAGGGCTCTTGACCCAGGTGATTGGCAGGTGACTCTGAGCAGCCAGTGACAGGGAAAATGTTGTTACCTCTTTTTTGCACGTTGGAAAGTGAGGCTACTGCATCATTTATTATGATTTGTTATTATTTTATTTATTTATTGTTTTATTTATTTCCTGCCCTTCACTCTAAGTTCCAGGGAAGGTTACAACAACTTAAAATACAACATTTAAAACTGTCTTGGAAATGGCTGTTGGAGTTGCCCAACTTCCTTGCCAGACAGAAAACTCCACAGGCTGTGAATTGAGACATTATCATAAAGGGGAGAGGCCAGAACCCTTCCCACAAATGTGACTTACCAGCCTAGAACTTAGAACCACAGTGGTTGCCCATTGAACTTGAAGAACAACTTGACTGGATGTTCTCTGAATGCTCTGCGCTGAGACAGGTTTCAAGCTTGCCTGTATGCTTGAGTGCCTGTGTGTGACTTTCTCTGGGTGTATTCACTCAGGCATGATGGAACACACAGTTTCCAGAACAGGAGATTATCTGTGAGTGTGGTTAGTAGATCTTTTTTGGAAGACTATCCTCATTTTGAGTAAATATGCTAGGCAAGACCAGATACTGACATAGTACCTGGAGGTGATCTGGTTGGTTAGGATGCCTTTTTACCTGCTTAAACATTAACTCAATATGGTTGATCTGTGAAGTCCTACTCCATAAGATGCTTCCAGATTCTAACTTCAGTAGCTGAGTCTTGTGCAGCAGTAGCTTATGATTTTGATTGTGGTGTAAAGGTTATGGGTTAAAAGGGGGATTTATCAATTTTGTGGGGGCAGCTGTAAATTTGCAGGTGATCTTTTGCTGAAATATCTGTTGAATAGAAGATGAACCTGTGAAAGGAAAAAGAGTTACTTTTGCTCCCATTTGTTTTTCTTCCTTTCTTGTTGGCAATTTTACCTGGGTAGTGGTCTGAGGAATTGATTTAAGAAAGCCAACACATCACACTTTTCTTTCTGTTCAAAGCAATGCAAATGCTGTCTTTGCTGTGTTTTGGCTGTGGGCACTTAAAATTGTTGATGTTCTTGCACACCACACCAGTCTCCGAGTGGTGTGAGATTCCAGGGGTTCCAGATGCTTACCCAGGGATCATGTTTCCTTTTTAGGAAAGAGGCACAGTGGAGACTGTGGTGTCTTTATGATATATTTACACATATATACAACCTGAGCCTACGATAGAGGGGTTCACAGCATCAACACCCCAAAGGTGTATGGTTTTCCCCATAGCCGCTGCCTTGGATTCAAGCAGAAATTAAACACTGCTCTCAAGGGCTGCTATGACTCTCTCTCCAGTTTGCTGCTTTACTTCTAGGTTACATCACTGCAAAAAACTCTACTCCAGACTCTGGCTTTTTCTGTTGAGGGAGGGGCCCCCACCCATTTGCTGTCTCATACTGAGCCCCTTAATCCCCCTTAATGGCTCATCACCCAGGTGATCACCTCACCAAGAGGCTAGCTTGGCTATTCCAATAATTAAATTCTAACACTTGCTGTATCCAGGGATTAGAAGGATCTGGCACCCAGTTTAGCATCCCAAACTCATAATAGTATTATGAAAACAAGACTCGAGGTGCTTTGTAATGTTCTTCAGACTATTGATTGTAATCTGGTATGCACTTTGATGTTTTTGCTCCTGTTTTAAAATGTCTTTTTTTGTTTTTACTTCTGTGTCTAAAGTAGGTGGGAGAAGGTAGACAATTATGAGAAGAATCATTGCTTTGAAAGCAGAAAGTATCTTTGTTTCGACTGGTGTGGGGGCAAATGTGCTCCTTCAGACCCCTCTGTCTGGCTCTTGGGGATTCTGTCTAGGCCATTTGTCTTGTTCACCCTGATTTCCTTTCTCCTTGAGTGCTTTTGCTTTGCTGTAACGTATCTTTGAACTGCAATGGTGCCTCTTGCTTCCCTGGATGGAGGTGAGTGCGTATAAAACTCTGGCTTTTGCATATCTGGTATGTAGCCTAATACTCTGACTAGAAGTGTCTCTCCGGGATTTCAGACTGGGGACATTCCCAGTTATACCTAATCCTCAGATTCTCTGGGACCTTCTGCATTTAAAGCAGATGCGGTACTGCTGATCTGCACCCATCCCCTAATGTAGAGCTGCCTCGGTGAAGATGGAAATTGTTTCTCAGTACGCATCTATAGGACTGCAGGTTGTGCCAATTAGCCAGGTAGCTTGTGAGAGTTGCTACTATAATGCACAAGATAAAAAGTGTAAAATAACCACTATCATTTTAATCAGTCGTTCATTATCTCATATGTCAATCAGGGATTCTAGGAAGAAAGGTTTTGTCTCATTCAACAAACATGTTATCAGCCACGGTTACTGTTTAGTATTTGGAACTGTTGTTTCTACTGCAGTTCTTAAAAAACGGATAGATCTATATGCACTACAAAAATGAATTTTATTTCCCTTGCATTCAGCTCTTGCAGAGGTACATTTCTCATTTTAATAACATTTTAAAACTGCCTGGCTTAAGGATTTTCACTTGAAAGATCTGCTGAAAATCCTTGCTTACATGGAAAATCTATTACATGAAGATATGATCTAAAATTTCATCAAACTCTTAAGATTTATTGTATCTCATCTGACTCGAGGCATGAGTTGCGAGGGTAAGAAATATGAGGCATGGAGCCCTGAAGCAAAGGTGGATTAAAAAAAAGAAAAGGGACAAAAGATTTGAGATCAGGGGAAATAATCTATGTTTTCTGGTACGAGGTATTTAAAATACCCTAATTGCCTTCCCACCAAATTCAGTGCCTATAGGATGCAAAATGAGATGGCAAAATAAAGTAATGTGAAAGTCCGGCTACTCTCTCAATTTTGCAGTCAAACCACTTGCTCAGGTGAGGAATGATTGTTCCTGGGCAAGTAACTTGTCAGAACTGCTGCCCTGGGAGGTAGAAAGGGCACGTAGGAAAACTCAGGGGGCAGAATTGCTAATAGGTTTCACTGGCCCTGGTGCTGCCTTTTCTGGCACGGCAATAAAGTAATGGGGTGGGGTGGGGGAAATGTAACAGCTTAATTTCTGTGTGTCAGAGGCTGCTGCTGAAAGCATGGAAGCAAGGCCAGTCATTTAAAAAAAAAGGCAACATAAGTCAACAACCTTGCTTTAGGATGGTGGTCAGTTTTCTGCACTTTCCTGCAAAATTGCATTCCATGTGCCATTTCAGAAATGCTTATCTGGAGTGTGACGTGGGAGGACATTGCTAAAAGGTCTGGCGAAGGTGAGTAACGGTTTTCTATTTTATCGTCTTGGCATGAGATTGGAAAATAAAGTCAGATTGTGATTAATCATGCCATACAGTGTTTGCTATGATATTTCATGTGTTGCCTGTCAATCAATAATAAAATCTCTTCTATCGTTTAATAGATAAAAATAGGGACACATATTTTTTTTTATTTTGTATGCTTGGAACACATCCCTAACCGTTCTTGATTGAAACCCACCAGATGCTTGTGGGAAGAACTGTGTGGTAGCAGCAGTGCTGTCCTTCAGATGTGGACATAATTAGCTTCTCCATTCCTGCACCTGGTCAGGGGAAGTGGTTGCTCTTTCATCTGACCCCCAAGGCCACTGACATGGTCAAGAAAGGAGGGCAGCTCTACCAATTTCACAAAACTGGCTGCCTGAAGGAATGACTATATGCTTGTAGCAGCTCTGACCCCCTGGCCCAAGCATTGTTATCTGCTGTGCTCTGACTTTGGTTCCCAGTGTGTGTGTTTTTCTGGGAAAGGCTTGCTCTTGTCCCCAATGTCATGACTGCCATCATGAGTTGACATCAGCTGTTCTGATTTCTATGTGGAAGCTGGATTCCTGCCGAGACTGTACATGACTTTGCTCAGATGGAGTTTGTGAGCCAAACTGGTCATTTAAGTCAAATTGTATACCTGCAGTCCAGATGTTAATTGGGCACTTTTAATTATTAAAACGTTGGCACATGCAACCAGATACGAGGTTGCATCCATTTGTGTCCCTCTGCTTGTGCAAGGCTCTTTGCTTCAGCAGATATTTCTGTGAATGGAAGGGGAAGGGAAGTGATATTTGCCAATTTCTCTTTTCTCCCACAGCCCCGCTGTGCCACTTTCCATATCATTGCAGCCTGCTGTTCTGTAAAGCAGATTTTGGGGCTGCAGAGAGAAGAGAGACTCAGCAAAAAAATGGCTTCTTCTCCCTCCCCTTTCTGCTCATGGAAACCTTTGCTGGATCAAAGAGCTTTCCATGAGCCTATTGACACAATTGGATACAATCCAGAGCTTTTATAGTACCTGGGGGCAAAATTCAAAAACTTTGGTCATGCATCCTTCATTGTGTGATTGTGATAGGATTCCTTTCTGTGGTGTTTTGATCAATGCCTGTGTGCTTTGCTGCCCACTGGTAACCTGTAATGCTTTTTTGGGGGGAAAGAGAGATGGAAATTTAAGTGCTGTATTCTGCAAATGTGCAGTGGCCTGAACATAAGTCCAGAAATAATAATAAAAATAGCTGCAGCTCTCCAAATAATCAGCAACATTTACCCTCTGGATTGACAGTTTTTATAGAGGGCAGGGATAGAAATAAATTGCTGCTCTGGCCTTTAATGGCTTGATTTTTCTTGATGTAGCTCAGTTGGTAAAGCATGAGAGTCTTAATCTTAGGGTTGTGGGTTTGAGCCCAATGTTGGGCAAAAGATTCCTGAATTGCAGGCAGTGCTTTTTCTGGGGGTTCTCAAGGGTGTGCAGTACTGGCACCTTCCTCCTCCCCCATCCCAAATGTTAAAAGAGTGGCACTTACTCACAACTTCATGGTGAGTACCAGCACCGTTTTTCCTAAATAATAAAAAAGAGCATTGATTGCAAGAAGTTGGACAAGATGAATTTTGTGGTCCCTTCCAACTCCACAATTCTGTGACACTCTATAGCCACATCCTGTGTCTGATCACATGATTTAAAAGTAAGGAAGAGCTTTGGTTCCTTTGGAGAAATACATATTAGAAAGTAGCTTAAGAATGCCCTATAACAGATTGATAAACTTAATAGCAGAAAATGAGCTTCCCCAAGTTCAGTGTGTAACAGAAGACGATGGGCAAGAATCAAGATGCAACCCAGCCCCCTTAACAAATGTAGGGGAGAGCCATGAAACCTCAAGAATGGCAGTTCTTCATGCAAACTATACAGTGGAAGCTCAGGTTAAGAACTTAATTTGTTCTGCAGGTCTGTTCTTAACCTGAAGTACCACTTTAGCTAATGAGGCCTCCTGCTGCCGCCGCACCACTGCTCAATTTCTGTTCTCAACCTGAAGCAAAGTTCTTAACCCGAGGTACTATTTCTGGGTTAGCGGAGTCTGTAACCTGAAGCGTCTGTAACCTGAGGTACCACTGTACATTGGTTTTAAAGTCGTCCTCAAAATATTTGCTAAAGGTTAAGTAAGGAAAGCACCATACTGATAGGAAAAAAAGGGGGGAAGTCATTCCTGAAAATGGGAGACAATAATTGGACTGTGGGTATTAAATAACCAGTTATTCAGTACTAGTGCAAGAAATGGATATATTGGCCTTTGTATATGCACAGTACTGGAATTTAGCATCACACAAGCTTTCCTTCTGAAATATGTCAGCTGAAGGAAGCAACGTTTTCCCCCACAGCTACATTTTTTGACTTTTTTCCTGTTGGTGAAGGTCACCTTTGTGAATGAGCTTGTTGGGGCCTGGCTTTCTGAGACTGATAACTTATTCCATTGTGAAACAGACAAGTAAGTGCAAGATGGCACACAGGCCAAGGAACTTAAAAAGGGCAAAGGCGTTAAGTTATCTTTTAAAAACCGAATTGAGAAGTGCAGAGTAGGTAATCCCTTAGAAGTAGTAAAATATCTCAGCAGGCCAAAATTACAGTGTCAGTCTTCTGATGTTCTTATCTAAATTGGCATCTAATCTTAGTCTCTAGGAGAATGAACAGGCAAGGATGTTGTTTATAGGGATGTCTGTCTTATTGTTCAAACAGAAGGTGGTAGGTGAAAATCTTCATGATCTCTAATCAAACAAGGCAATTTCAGGTGTAAACTGTTTCCAAATAAAGTCTCTGAGAAAGCTGATTTGTTTGTTTAGGACAAAAGTTATTTTAACTTAATGCGTTGCACTGGGAGATGGAAAAATGCATCGACTGGCATCAGCGTGGCTTCTGACTTACCCAGCAGAAATGCAAAAGAAATGGGCTGCTTGCTCTTATCTTGGAACTTTGCAGACATTCAGGCTGGCCTTGGGCAGTTTTCTAGAGAAAGATCCTTGCTTTCTGTCGTTGTGAATCCTTCTGAGCCAGGGCTGCTGCACGATTTCTGAGCTGATGTGAACATAGACAAATTACAGCAGGGGTCATCAATGTGGTGCCCTCAATAACTTGTCCTAACACCCACAAAGCCTCGAAGATTCCCCCTCCCCACACTCCCTGTCCCCTTCCATAATGAGGTGGTGAGGGTGATTATCTTTTTCTCCCAGGAAAAGTACATAGAGCTAAAGGAGGATGTTCTTTCTGCTTCCTCTTTGGGCTCTGTGTGCTTTTCCTGCACTACAAGGGTGACAGTGGTGCTGGCACTGGGTTTTCTGATGAAATTTTAGTCTACTCATATTATGTAGAAAAAAACTTATCCACATCCCAGGATCTTTGTGTGCATTTCTCTGCCAGCGACAGCCTGTTATACACTGCAGGAATGCATAGGAGTCGACTCCCAAGAGCCCACTTCTTGTTCCTGTTAAGCCATAGATTGTTTGGATTGCTTTGATACTCTAGGACCTAGCTAATGGAAAGAGAACCCTCAAACCTGCATAAGAATAAACATGGTTTTCAGAGAGCATCAATTCACCCCCGTTTCCCCTTTATGTTGGTTTTGACGCTCCAAAACATGTGAATTACCATGTCCCATCCAAATGGATGGAGATGGCCAGATGGCAAGCCTAATTGCAGTAGCAATTTCCCCCCATCTTCCTGGAGAATGATTTGATATTCAGAACTGCAATTTAAATCCCAGCTGATTAATCAGCCTCCAAGCCGATCATGCTAATGTTCTAGAATGTTGGAGACCAATTCGCTCTCCAGTTAACTGGAATAAGCAGAGGCATTCTTCTTGGCATCCTTAACTACTTTGGGCCAAACAATGCACAACTGAATTTCTGTTAAATTAAAGTCTTCCTCTCCCCTACCCGCTTTTGTGTACTGCTCAGTTTTATTTGTATGGTAATATAGTTTTACTGTTTCTAGTTAGCTCTAAAAAAAAATAATCTTATTTGAATGTTTGTTTATATAGATTTGATACTGATTTCCTCCTATTTTTTATGCAAGCTATTTAAACTGTTTAGAAATTCTTTTTTATCGTAAGCAGTATATAACTTACATAAATAAATAAAATAGTGTGTGGAAACACAACCTGCTGTTTGCCCAACAGAGGACAATTACATAGATATGAACCTCCCCTCCCCTGGCCCATGTGCCCGTGTGTGTGTGCATGCAATTGTGTGACTGGAAAGATTGCCCAAGGGAAAGGGTTTAAGTACACACACTCTGCTATTGTGCTGAACAAATTAGCATCATCTCCCCTCAGCTGTATTTCAGGATTTTATTTTGTTTTTTTAAGTTGGGAGACTGCATTGTGAGTAACAGAACTTAGTGGAAGGGCACAAGACCTAGAAAGTGTCAGGACAGGAAGTCAGGGGGAGGGCCCTGGCTGTGTTCTCCTGACAGCTTCCCCAGGGCAGACTGGTGTGTGTACCTGCACAGAATGCCGTAAAGAACTTTAAGTGAATGCTATGTTTTAATGAAACAGAGACCTGACCTGATCACAGATGTCCTGTGTAATAGTTGCTCCTCAATTTGCATTTTGAGAATGTGGGATTGGAGTTCAGGGTTTTCTGAGGTGGACATGAGGAAAACCCCTGAAACACTAAACTGTGTTTTTCTTTAAAACTATGATTGTGTGAAAAATGATACATTTCACTAAAGGTCATGTGCTGATGGGGAAATTGTCTTAATTATATATCTCTATCTCTATCTCTATCTCTATCTCTATCTCTATCTCCTCTATCTCTATCTCTATCTCCAGACATCAGTCTTTGAAACAATCCAGATTAATGTTGATGAGAGCGGTGGGGTATTGGACAGTAGACGTCAAGCAGAGATAACATTTCCAGGATACCTCTGTGATGATGAAACCTGTTGCTGTTTTTTCAAACCCATCATTTTCATGGCAGTTTTGGCACAGCCACCCAAGTCCCCATATTCTACTGTAACCTAGTCTTATGTACGTGTAATAAAAGCGAATGTATATTCTTGATCTGTCACAAGTTTTCTCTCCTTCCTTGCAGTAAATTTGAGATTGCAAGTTTCTTGTGGCAAGACGTTATCTGCTTGTACTTTGTGAAGTAACACACACATTGAGGATGCTGTAGTATAAAACAACAACAGTCTGTTGGCAGATTTCCTTAGGTGGAAAAAAATGGGGATTCTTGCCCTATTGAACTCAACCCTTTGATTAGAGCACTGTATTGTACCTTAAAAATGCTGGGACTACAATAAATTTTCTTCTGGGAATTGATGTTCAGCCTGATCTTGACAAGATGAGACCCCCCCCCCACTTAAACTTTAAGCTGAAAAAGGCACACTTTGCCACTGATGAAACCTGATATTCAACCATGGATCAATAGGCATTCCAGGCTGCAAACTAGATTCTTCAAAGCTTAAAGAATGTAGTTTGCAGCCTATGATGCCCATTGATCTGTGGTTGCTGCTTGAATTTCAGGATGCACAAGGGGTGCCTTTATCCAGGTCCATTTTAAATGCCAGAGGACCCTTTCTTCAGAAACTGAGATCTCCCCAATGTTACACACACCATGCTTAATGTTTATTTGGATTCCTACATTGTATGAAATGTAGGGCAACCTTCCAAGACTGTTTGGAAACTACTGTTAGCCCAGAATGCAGCAGGCAGAATCCTATCTGGGACTGATTGTAGCGCCTGGCTCATGTAACACCTATCCCAAAGCAACTGAACTAGTTAACAATTTGTTTCTGAGCTCAATTCAAGGTGCAGTTGTTGATCTTGGTTTTGGTTATCTGAAGGAGTCTCTCCTCCCATATACAGTGGTACCTTGGGTTAAGTACTTAATTCGTTCCAGAGGTCCGTTCTTAACCTGAAAGTGTTCTTAACCTGAAGCACCACTTTAGCTAATGGGGCCTCCTGCTGCCACTGCGCCACCAGAGCACGATTTCTGTTCTCATCCTGAAGCAAAGTTCTTAACCCAAGGTACTATTTCTGGGTTAGTGGAGTCTGTAACCTGAAGGGTCTGTAACCTGAGGTACCAGTGTACTATCCCTTGTACCTTCTCATCTTTTAGCAAGGCTGTTATGCATGTTGCTTTCTTTCTAAGTGGCCATTAGAAGTGCTGGTATTTAACTCTTAAGAACTGGGTGTGGTTTTTCCCCTCTTTCCTCCCTGTCCCTTTCCTTTTTCATGTATTGCCTTAGATTATAGGTCTCTGGGCAAAGACTTTCTTGTTCTAGTTCATCATATAGAAGCCACTCTGGAAGCCTTTTTGGTTGAAGAGTGGGATACAAATGCTCTAAATATAACATCAATGGGCTAAATAATAATAATAATAAAATGTTAACAGTAGTATCTTATGCATAAAAAACAAATTTATACTTAGGAATTGATATATGAAACTTCACAGGAGGATGACAAGGCAATTCACTTCAAACCTCCTTTATAAACAACTTAGCTGGACAAACTAATGGATTTTAGTAGTCCACTCATTAAAACTGCATACACATCCATCCTAACAAATACCAAACAATAGAATCAGTCTTGGTTGTAACCATAGTTGTGGTTTTTATATTGTTATACATTGATTGTGCAGAAGTCTAGTGGTAAATGAATTTGTGAGTTTAGAGCTGTTGTGGTTTATGGGTGTGATAAGAAGGTAGGCAATATAGCTCGGATATCAACTTGCTAATGGCTGAAATAAAAAAAGTTTATCCGTGTTTTTCAGAGGCTTTGACTCTGAGTAGAAGATGCATTTGTATGGAGGATAAGGTTATATTTACTGTCCTGGGAAAATCTATATTGATGGTCATTGGGATGTTATGGCAAGACTAAATCTGTAGTTTGGGAGTTGTTGGGAAGGACTTTTAATTAATTTTCTAAACATTAAAAAGGGACACATTTTGCCTACAACTCAGCATGACAGTTCATGCATTTGATGAAGTGGACTCTGCTCCATGAAAGCTTATGTCATAATATGTTGCTCCTTTAAGGTGTCACAAGTCATTTTTGTTGCAAGGGAAAATATGGCTACCCCTAGCAGTGTGAAGAACTTGGGTTTTTAGCAAAGAAATTGCTTCTCTCTGATGTCTTTTTCCAACTGCCTGAGAAAAAGCTGGATCCTTCTGCTGACATTTGATGAAGGTTTTGGTCAATAGATGTCTGGGCCTTTCCACTTGTTATGCCTACCAATTGTTGGAAAGCTTATTTCACTTCTCTTGTGGATAGTGTATTGTGCCACAGCTGTAGTCAACTATTGGCTGTGTTGTCCTCAGGGGAATCTGTTACTAATGTGTGTTTTGTTTTCAGGCCTCCTTCAGTTTGATTAATAACACTCATGAAACTTTTTTTTTTTAAGCCTGCATAAGAAATAAGTCAGATAAGTGACAAGCATTTCTAATATCCTGTTTCCATCCCATAAAAGAGATGAAGTGAAATAAGTATTGAGCTGTGGGGAAAATTGGGACTGTGAGAGAGGGAGGGCACTTCACTCCCTGACCCCCAACATATATCAAACTGGCAAGGGTCCTAATGCCTTTCTATAAACCTATGATATGTTCTGATATGATATACAATTCTGGTTGCGCTGTATTTAAAAGGATATTGTAGCATGCAACCCATCTGTTGTGTTTGACTGCTAAAGCTTTAAATAGCTGAGTCCAGGGTATATGAATGTGTCTCTGTTCCCTAGCATGTTCACCTACCCTGAATGGCTAGGTTTTTCACTGTTTCTAGCTATCCTGCTGGGCTTAGGGCTCACAGGCAAACTGGAAGCTGTCCAACAGAGTTTTTTCTGGGCAGGTTGAGTTAGGCAAAGGTAAACCAAAGGCAGAGTCAGAACTATGGACAGCTCCCAGTAGGCTCTGCTGGTTAGCTATGGGCAGATATAGTCTCAGTCAGGGGTAGGCAACCTAAGGGCCGTGGGCCGGATGCAGCCCAATCCACTTCTCAATCTGGCCCACGGACAGTCTGGGAATCAGCATGTTTTTACATGAGTAGAATGTGTCCTTTTATTTAAAATGCATCTCTGGGTTATTTGTGGGGCCTGCCTGGTGTTTTTACATCAGCAGAATGTGTGCTTTTATTTAAAATGCATCTCTGGGTTATTTGTGGGGCATAGGAATTCGTTCATTCCTCCCCCCCCCCCCAAATATAGTCCAACCCACCACATGGTCTGAGGGACGGTGGACCGGTCCACGGCTGAAAAAGGTTGCTGACCCCTGGTCTCAGTAGTGAGCTGAGGCCATCTGAAGCCAAAAGCTGGCTGCGCTGTCTTAAGATGTGGAGGAGATGGGAATGCTCTTGGGGGCTTATCTGCTGAGCTGAGGAAAGCAGAAGGGTTGTGTCTTCAGGCTGTGAACGCGTAGCATGAAGTACTAAGGGCCCCACTGCAACCTGAATGGGGCAGCTTGTGTTTCCTTCTCATTTATATTTGTCCCAGGGAGGCGGGGGGGGGGGAGTTCAAAAATCATGATACTAGCTATGCTACCCACCTACCATTTATCTGCCCCATATCCCCAGTTTCCTGTTTCTTTAGCCTATTGAAATAAGGGATACAAAGCAAAATGTCAGGTAGTATTCTGTCCAATCATTTTTTGGGGGAAAGGGCCTGCTGCCTCCTCCTATTGTTCTTGGCCAAGAAGGAAGTCACACCTAAGTCTGACACCTGTCTCTAGCTTAGTGTTTATGAAGACTAGACTAACAGGGCATGTTTTGAGTTGCCAAACTCATAATATGTTGACCAGCTTATCGTGTGGTCAAGTCTGTTGCATTGCCTTTTGTCTTTGAAAGCTCTCTGTTCACCAGAATAGTTATTATAAAGTGGCCTGGAAACAATAGGTTGACTTCTTCTTCTCTTTAGCTAGTGCAATTCATTGCTGAGTCTGCTTATCACTCTGTCTTTGTCTATTACTCCTTGGAAGGAACCTCTGGTTGTCATGACGACAAGAAATAGGGACTGAGGAAGTGCTAAACTGGCTCTTGCTCTGCTGTAATATTGCCAGTGGGTTGAAGTTCTTCCCAGTCCAAACTTCCAACCTAGCCAGAAGGCTTTTTTAGGCAGTTTGGTCTTGGGGTTGCTAGGAGGCAGCAGTCATTTAACTGAAGTTGCTGGACAACTTCATGGGGATGCTTGTGGGCACTGGGGCAGAGCAGCGACCTTGAAAAACAGTGGAACAAGATCCACAGGCAGCTTCTGTGACTACTCTTTGGCTTGAGCTGTGGGTCATAGCCACAATTCAACCATGGTGACTGATGCAGGTAGCCTCCTGCAGCACCTGCTACTGTCTTTACATAATGTCTTTAACACATCCATAGCGGTGTTCACTTATCTGGAGCCAATCTAGTATGATCACAGCAATTCAGTTCATCCCCTGATCATAAACAGGATTGAGGCAGACCTCAGACCTCACTCTAAACCTTCCTGATCTCCGCAGCATGCTGGGACCCTGTTTTCCTTCAGCTTCCATCTTGATGTGGGGAAAATATGTGGCAAAGGTTTCTCTGTAGTGGCTTCAATACTGTGCAGTTCTTTGCTGAAGGTTCTCTACTAGAGCCCAAGTATACTGACATCTTAGGAAATGCTGCAAATCGTTTTCGCTTACCCGGCTCGTTGACATTGAATTGATTTTTTATGAACCATTTGATGGGTGTTATGGTCTTTTAATAGTACAGGTATGGCTTTATATTGAACTGTGTGTTTACTTTTATATCACCCACCTTGAGCCCATGTAGCAATGATAACAGTAATACCTTTTTGGATTCTTTCTTTCCTTTTTTCTCGCCATCCTATTGACTTTGTTCCCACGCCTCTCCCTATCCCTCTCTGCTGTATTTAGGAGTGTTGCCTGGCTAGATGAGAGTATGGTGTGCTTTCAGCAAGCTGCCACTTGAATATTCCACTCTTCCAGACGGGATGTTGCCTGTAGAATGTTAATCCTTTGTTCACATCAGGAGAATGAACTTTGTGTGTGTACAGACTGACCTGGAGTTCTAAGCCATTACTAAGGGCAGTAGCTCAGTGGCAGAGCCCGTGCTTTACATGCAAAACACCCCAGGTTCAGCCCTTGGCATCTCCAGGTAAAGCTGGGAAAATGCCTCTGTGTGAAACCCTGAAGAGCCACTGCAGTCCGTGACAGCAATACTGGGCTACAGGGACAAATGGTGTGACTTCCTGTGCAACATAAGGCAGCTTCCTGTGTTCCTGTGACACTGAAATTGGAGGGCCTGGCTGGAATGACCATGACTGCTGATGATGCAGAAACAGACTCCCTTTACTCTCTATGGGAGGCAACAATCCCCAGAACAGTATCCCACTTCTTATTGCTCAAGCTGGCAGCAACAGAGAATGGTGTCATGGCACACTGTTTCGAATGCTATTTAAAACACGGGTGGCGCTGTGGGTTAAACCACAGAGCCTAGGACTTGCCGATCAGAAGGTTGGCGGTTTGAATCCCCGTGACGGGGTGAGCTCCCGTTGCTCAGTCCCTGCTCCTGCTAGCCTAGCAGTTCAAAAGCACGTCAAGTGCAAGTAGATAAATAGGTACCGCTCCGGTGGGAAGGTAAACAGCGTTTCCGTGTGCTGCTCTGGTTCGCCAAAAGTGGCTTAGTCATGCTGGCCACATGACCCGGAAGCTGTATGCCGGCTCCCTCGGCCAATAAAGCAAGATGAGCGCCACAACCCCAAAGTCAGCCGCAACTGGACATAATGGTCAGGGGTCCCTTTACCCTTTACCTATAGGGGCACAGTGGCATTCAACTCTCCAAGGCTGATGGTGTGTGCCTTCTGGTAGCACGAAGGGGACTTTGATGTATTGTGGGCGCCCTTTGCACTGTGCCAGTACCCTTACATGGTGCTTACATGCCACATCATAGAGATAAGCACTGATGTGCTGACCATGGAGTTGGGGTGCAAGCTCTGAATATTCAGGCCTGATCCAGTATAGTAGTAGTAGAGCTCCATGTTGGATGCAATCCTTACCAGTGCAGTGGCAGACTTTGTGCTTTAAAATTTCAGCTGCACCCCATGCGACACCAGAATTCAGTGCCCCCCTGCCTCTCGCATTCAGTTGTTCATCATTGTTGCAGTGCCCCGTACGGAGCCCTCTTGGCTCAGCACCCAGTGTGTGTGAACTGGTCCTGCTCCCCTAAATCGTCCTCTGCCAGTGATATGGTTGCCACTGTGTCTCTCTGGGCTGCTCCCACAGTACTTGATAACGTTTAAATTTTCCACCCCATGTGGTTAGAGTAGGCTGCATGGCTCTTAAGCATGGCTGCATTGATTGGATCAGATGACATAGTATGCAGCCATGCGCATAGTCTGAACTGTACAGAGCAGGAGCTCTACACGTTTCTGGAGCAGTGTGGGAGTAATTGCAGGAAGTGTTTTGTTTTTAAATTGGCCCTCAGAGTATAGGAGTGGGCTGGTTTTTTTGGGGGGGGGGAGAGAGAATAACATACGAAACCGCAAATCATTCTTTTGCAAACTGGATCCTTTTAGAGAGAAACAAGCAGTCAAAAGCTTACATAATGTAGAATCTTGCTGCACCACGCTCACACATTCACTTAATATGCCCCATCAAGAAAATTCCTTTGCAAGCTGATATCATGTTTTCAAGCAGTTACAGACTGGAATAGGATTAAATAACATGGCTGCAAGCGAGAGTTACTTTATTCCACCAACACCCACCCCCATCTCCCACAAATTTACAACATTCATCTGTGCTCTCTTGCTGTAGGGACCTCTGTGTTTAGATCTCTGCTGCGAGCCAGAGTTTATTGCAATAATCAACTTGTATAAAATGACAGGAACTGGAGAAATGAAACGTAAGACACTACAGAATCTCCTATTCCTTGCCGCACCCTTTCCTCCATTTGTTTAGATGGTTATTTTATTTGAAGTAACTTTTACTTATGCCAGTGTGGTGTGGTTAGAGTGCTAAACTAGGACCTGGGGAGACCAGGGTTTAAATCCCCACTCAGCTGTTGATTTCATTGAATGACTTTGGGCCAGTCCCTTGCCTTCAGCCTGACCTACCTCACAGGGTTGTTGTAATGAGATAGGAGAGAAATATATATATGCCATCCAGGACTTCTTGGAATAATGGTGGGATATAAATGGGAAAACAAATGAAAGGACAGTTGGTTTAGAGTGCAGAATTATTGTCTTCTATTTAAATGAGGTTTTTTTTAATCAATTGCTTATTTTTGTTTAAACTGAATTTCCTGTAGCTGTTGCTCTGTGGAAAATGATTTATTATTTTTACTAATATTTTTGAAGCACAGCTTCATTACTAGAATTGGTTCATAATCTTAAGGTCTAGTACTTTTGTTAGCAATTCCTGCTCATGTCTTTGAAACATAAATGAGAAAACAAATGTGTCTTGGATTGTAAGTCCATGGAAGCAGCTGTTTACCTTGCAGTTATATAACAACAACAACAACAACAACAATTTATACCCTGCCCATGTGGCTGGGTTTCCCCAGCCACTCTGGGTGGCTTCCAACAAAATATTAAAATACAATAGTCTGTTAAACATTAAAAGCTTCCCTAAACAGGGCTGTCTTCAGATGTCTTCTAAAAGTCTGGTAGTTGTTTTTCTCTTTGACATCCGGTGGGAGGGCGTTCCACAGGGCGGGTGCCACTACCAAAAAGACCCTCTTCCTGGTTCCCTGTGACCTCACTTCTCGCAGTGAGGGAACTGCCAGAAGGCCCTCGGCGCTGGACCTCAGTGTCCAGGCAGAGCGATGGGGATGGAGACGCTCCTTCAGGTATACTGGATCAACACTCCAAAAAAATCCTCTCAGAAGGGGCAGGAGTCCACCCTGAACAATATGGGATTGGAATAGGGGGCCAGGGGCAGATGGCAGGTAACTTTTTTATTCTATGAACTTCTCTCAGGACCCAGCTTTCCTCAGTGCATGCTGGGAACTTCTGGTTTGTGCAATTACAGTAGATAAAAATGTTCTGTTGCTCTGGTGCAACAAACTCGCTAAAAAAAAGTAACTTTTTATAGTTAAGGAAGTGATGGAGAAATACATTGGGAAGCTTAGAACAAACAAAAGATGAGAGGGAAGGTGTATAACCTCCCAGCAAACAAATCAGAATGGATTCTCAGTAAAGACCAAATGCAATCTAACTTCTGTGCCAGTTTTGTGCAAGCTAATGAGGGTGGGTCCTCAGGGAATTGGTCATCTGAAGGAGCTCTGATTCACCCAACATATTTCACATGCCAAACCGAGTTTCCTTGCTGGCAGGTTAGGGAAGGGCCACACCTCAGTGGCAGAGGGTCTGCTTTGCATGTAGTAGGTTACGGGTTCAATCCCACCATATCCAGGGAGTGTAATACACTAGTTGCTGCCAGTTAGTGTAGGCAATGCTGAGCCGGATGGACTGATGGTCTGACTCTGTATAAGGCATCATATTACATTATAGGTTTGGCTAAAGCCTTGAACATAAATTTCCTCTGTAAATCCTATCTTCTAATGCAGACCTCTCCATGCGCGCGCGCACACACACACACACACGACTGGGGAGATTCATTATTGTTTTTAAAAATTTAAATAGCAGGTCCCAGGGTGGTGGTGGTGAGGGTCAAGACTGGGGCCACCACCTTTGATCAGAGGGATCAACCCTTCCCCACATGCTGTAGTGCTGATGAAAATATCTCCTTTCCCTGCAAGCAGTTATTCTCGGTGGGAGAGAAACTGCCTTTGGCTCCAGTGGAAGCTTCCCTCCTATGCCAAGTACCATCGTTGGGCGGGGATGGGGGAAGTCTTTGGGATCACAGTGACAATGTCACTGTGTAAAACTCAGAGTAAACCCATTGAAATCAATGAAACCAAGTTAGCCATGCCCATCAGTGGGCCTACTCTGCATAGAACTAGCCTTGGCTACCAGGCACAATCGCTGTTGAGCCCTGCTGTGGCTCCCATTTTCAGTTCTAAAAACAAGCGACCATCTCCAAGCCATGTGTTTAATGTAACCTGCTGTTTGGTTCATCTCAGTGACTCTTCATGCATGTGGGAAATCCAGTATACACACTGGCTTCTCCATTATCTTCAGTGCCCATGCAGCTTTTCATATAATTACTGTCACTGAAATGTTCAAAGCAATATTTCCAATTGCCAGCCTTTTGTCATGTTTTGGTAATTATGTATAATGGAATGCTTCCTCCCTCCAAAAGAATTGCATGACTGGCTACTTCTCTCTTGTATCCTGAGAGTGCAACTTCAGTAATGTTGTCTGTGTAGTGTGTCCGTTTCCGAAATATTGCTTGACAGTATGTTGAGATTATCAGCTTAATGTTTCACAGCAGAGCTGTCATTCTTCTTTCTTCCACCCTTGAATGCCTTGCCTTTGTCCAGCTTCTTTCATATATTTATTACATTGAGATGATGGGATAAAACTGATCTAGATCGCCTGTTCACTGAGCAAACATTGTGTCAGGGATATGCAGGGTTTCTCTACTCCCTGTGGTTTTCAATATATAATAATACGTTACTTGTCTGATATATGAACCAATACACCAGAATTGCTGTATATTTTATCCTCTGATTTAATGCTCCATAACCTCGTACAAGTTTCATCAGTGGTACATGGTGATGTAAACACTTGTTACCTCAGTTAGAATCATAGAATTGTAGCTGGAAGGTAGCCCAAGGGCCATCTAGTGCAATCCCCTGCAATGTACTTTATTTATAAGAATATTTATAAACTATCAACTCCTTTAAGATGTGGAGGTGCATAATAAAATTAATTTTAATGTGGTAAAAACTAATGTCAAAATAACTGCACATAAGCTATATTTGCTTGCATATATCACTGCTTCCCTTAACCAACAATATGGTGCCAGCAGTATTCTTGGTGGTGGGTGGAATGTGGCCCGAAGACACATGGGACAGCCATCATGCCAATGCTAAGCAGGTCTGGTTCTGAACAGTGCCAGCATGGGAGACCACTTGAAAAATCTGTCTGCTGCCTTATGTTCCATTGAGGGGGGTGGGAGGAAATAGATGGGATAAAAATAGTGACCTTGTTGCTCTCATCTTTCAGTAGATCCCCCTTCACCAACCTGGTGCCCTCCAGATGTTGCTGGCCCTGAGTAGTAAATTTAGTTTTAGACCAATGAACAGCCAAATACACACAGAGCTTTTACAGGGCAACCCTGTGTCCCTGAACACATTTGAAAATGCACAGGCCCACAGGTTTTTCCACAGTGTCTGCGGTGGAAAAGGCCAACAGAGCTGCCTGAAGCAAACAGGGTTGGAGAATAAGCCATATCCCAAGAGAGTGGTGAAAGACGAGGGTAGTGGGGCTGCATTCATCAGGCAGGGCTGTGTGTAGGATGAGAGCCATTGGGGTGTGGTGGGCACTCTTCCTGACAATCAGAGATCTGTTTGTTGTTATTAAACTCTCTTTTTAATATGGAATAAACCTTCAGCTCTGTGTTGCTATTTATTGTTTTATTTATTTGCTTGTTATAGGTAAGTATCCAGTGAATTTGTCCTGTTGGTGCAAATACTTCCACTTGCATAATGGAACTTCCCCTCCATAGAACTAACTCCTAGGGGCTGAGCTCCCTTTGCCCGCCCCCAATAAAATATTTGAGGGGGCTGCCTCCCCAAGTTGATGGGCATTGCTATTCAAATGGTGTGTGCGCATCACATCATGTGGTTGATTATATGGGTGCAGCTTACCCGCCCCCCAGTATTTTATTCATGTTGGCACCCCTGTTCCCTTCTGTTTTCTCTCCCCCCTGCCCACCCCATACCTCCCAAAATCTGCTCCAGAAGGTTGGGAAAACAGATTGGGGGGTGCATGGGGAGTGGAAAGGGAGGGGTCATCTTGTTGCACATGCTGCATTGATACAACCCTCTGTCTTTAAAGCATGTAAAACACTCTGGGTGATCCCTCTGAGGACTTAAGGAAAACATACCAAGCACACTAACTAAATAAATAAAGTACAACTCTGTGTTTGACAACCTCCTTCTACTGAAGCATTTTTGCTGCTCTCTAGATCTTAAGTTAACAAAGTAAGATAAAATGCCAGAAAAAGTCCGTACAGTGTTTTGCTCAAGATGCATGTGCAGTGGTTTGAAGTATTGTGTACTTGGCATTCTTTAAAGGTCATCCTTTCAGAGTAAGATGGGTAATTACCCAATTGAGCACTCTGTTTTAATGACATCTAAAATGAAAAAAGGCTTTCTTCAAAAAGCGGCGTGAGGACCTGGGCAGCAGATAAGCCAGAATGTGGGTTTTGCAGGAAGTTTTAAGTATAATGTGTCAATCTCTCTTGCAAATATGTCTGGAACACTAATGCATATAGTGGCTGGGTGGTTGTTTTAGATCACTTTAGTTTTAGCCTAAGGCTGCCCAGCTCTTTTAGAGGGGAAAGTGTCATATATCTGCATAAATTACTTTCTATATATGAACATTTTACCATTGGTGTGTGCAGAGCCAGAGCTTTAAAAGATCATTCCTGGGTTTTTGCCTTCTCCTTCTTTTAGAATAAGGAAGAACAACAATAAGCCCACATTAGCATTTATTAAAAACAAAACAAAAACATTGGCAATAGGGGACCTTATTTCTTCCTGCAGTAACAGCATAACTTTGATCCAGTTGAGCAATAATATTCCATCGGATGTGAGACTGCTATCCTTTTAAGAAGCTGAGAAGCATACTGCAGATGCTGCCCTCCTCAAAAACATCATTATAATGAGGAGCTACACCTGTGATTTCAGCCTTTCTCAGTCCTCTTAGGAGACATGCCCAGCCTTGTTTGGAAGATGGTCACCTCCACTCTCAGCCATTATCTTTCAGGTATGTGTAGTTTTTAAAAGATGTATAATAGCGAGCATCCAAACTGGTATGCACACTAATGAAACACACTTCTAAAGCTACCGTACTTTTACAAAATGCTTTAAAAACTCTGGGTGTTTCTTTTTCTGTAACATATTTACATAATGACCTGTAGTACACATGTTTTTGAATGTCAACATTTTGTGCTCTTCAGAAATTCTGAACCCACTCAGTGTTAGTGCATGTGAGGCCAATCCATCAGCAGGAGTTTCTAGGTGCTAGTTTCTCTGTGGTAAACATTGACCAAGCTGGAATCTCTTCCTAGGAACAATGTGTTCATTGATTAAATAGCCACACTTCCAGGGGCTATTGCTTGAATTGCATGGCTGTTAGACGTGGCAGAAAGCAATTCTGTACCACAAGAGGTTATTTTAAAGTCATTTATGGCCCTTGAATTATTGAGGTTGCAATCCTATATCCTCTTAACTGGGAGGAAGCCTTTTTGAAACACAGTGGGACTTACTTGAGTGTAGGCATGTATAGGACTGTGTTGTGAATCAGTAAAGCCAGAGCCAATTTTGTAGAAAACGAGGTGCCAGAACTCACCACGAACACCTCCCTCCTTCTCTTAGAACGGCAATGGTGCCCACCTCTGAGGGGTTGGAACTGAGTTCCAGCAAGTTCTGACTGAAAAGTTGCAGACTGCAAGGCCTCGTGGCGGCATCGGCGTGAAATTACGGCAGCAGCGCTGGCAGCCTGCAAGGCCTCACAGCGGTGACAGGGAGGTGGCAGCCCGTGAAGCCTTGCGGTGGCAACAAAAAGTGGTGATATGCTGAAGTTTTAGCTGGTGATATGGTGAGGTTTAGCTGCTGATATCATTGCAGTATTTAGCTGGTGAGTTAGTGCGTTGATGGAAACCAGATAACGCCTAGCTCTTACACACATTGTGATTCGCGATATATTGCCAGCTCAGATATTATGAAACAATTATCATGATGTGAACTTCAAGCCGGTGTTGGATGATATATTGATATATCGCCCAGCCCTAGCAGACAGTTGCACAGGAGACTTTCCACCCCCATGCCCCAAATTTATGCATTATGTTTAGACACCCTGATGGCATGCATCTAAATACTCAACAGATTTTGTTTCTAAAGGGTAATATTAGGAGCAACAAGTATTAAATTTAAATTCATTGGCTCTAGAATGTATCCTACTGGTTGTTTTGCTTTCAGACCCCTCTTTGTTATCAGTATTTTCTTATAACATTTTTTTTTTTTTAAAAAAACCCAAACTTCTTGTTATTAGCTACCTTGAGTCTTGTCAGAAAAAAAGTGGGGGTATCACTTACAGGATTGATAGCCATATAAAGCAAATAGTTGTTAGGCCTGTCTATTGAGACCCTGCAAATGAGAAAGCATCTGAAGGGAAATAATTTCCATTGCAATTTGTACCGGTCATTAGTGATATCATTCCTGACACTTGCTGTATTGTATCCTCCTTGTCAGAATGAAATTTAAATATTTCTGCCAACAGTAAAAATAAATGCTTGGCTTGTCCAGAATGCATATCAGATAATGATAGGAGGAAGATACTTGCGCCTGGATTTTCGTCTTGTCTTTGGTCCCATGGTGCAGAGCATGGTGATGCTGAGACTATTTGATGACTGCTTGCCAAAAGCTGCAGCAGTTTAAATATTGCATCTCTCTTACAGCAGACACATTGGTGGTGTTTGCAATAAGAATGGCACAATCTTTCCCTAATTTGAAAAGCAGATCCTTGAGAAGGGCACAGGAGCTTTTTTTGGAGGCTAGTTATAACAGAAGGTCAGGCCTATGCTGCTTGCTGCCTCTTCTGTACTGCACTCCTATTTGCTCTTCAGCTCAGTAGACTGGAAGAAAACCATAGTACGACACAGGTGGGCTCCAAGTGCTAAAGGGGCACTGTTAACTATTCTGCACTCTGTGTGGCACACTTGCCAAGAAGATTGTCCACCTCTGCTTGAGGCAGATCCATGCTATGCACAGGGTCTTGTAACTAAGGAGAAACTGTATGACCTGAGTTACTGTTGTGTTGAGCCCAGCAGTAGCTTTTGTAGGGTCAAGATCTATCAGCTAGACTCTGATTCTATAGACTCAGCTGCTGTTTTTAACTCTTGTTCAGTTGTTGTGTTTTTGTTTTAAGCCACCCCGTGATCCCTATGAGAGGAAGGGCAGGGTATAAGAATAATGAAATACAGTGGTACCTCTAGTTACGAACTTAATTTGTTCCAGAGGTCCATTCTTAACCTGAAACTGTTCCTATCTAGAGGCATGCTTTCGCTAATGGGGCCTCTTGCTGCCATTGCGCTGCCAGCACACGATTTCCGTTCTCATCCCGTGGCAAAGTTCTCAACTCAAAGTAATTCTTCCAGGTTAGCGGAGTTTGTAACCTGAAGTGTTTGTAACCTGAGGCGTTTGTAACTCAAGTTACAGCTGTACAGTAAATCATATGCAAAGCTATAGTCATTTCCTCCCATATAGTCATGCAACACCAAGTTCTGTAGTGTATGTGCATGTGTGTATTTTGGTAAGGTCATCCCTGACCTTAAAGATGGCTAATTACTTTACTGCAGCTTGTGCTCACTCGGGAAATCTCCTTTTCCACCACCACCCGCCTGCCCACCCCTTGCAACTGTGTTTTTACAAAACTCAAACCAAAACCACTGTTGGCATCAGAATATTTTCGTGCTGCCAGAATTCACTGCCATGTGGAAGAATTAGGCTTAGGCAGTTATCTGCCAGTGCGTGTCGATTATGTGTGGCTCAGTCTGACAGACTTCACATCTGCTGCATCCTACATACTTCCAAGAAGAATACTGTTGTGTGAAGGACATTTCAGTATAATTGGGGATGACACAGGCTAGAGTAGGTACCGGTATATACCTTTTGGCCACTCTGAACTTTGCCAGTGTGCTTCCTCTTTGGAGAATGATCTTTGTCCTGTATGTTACTAGAGTGTATCAATGGAGGACTAAACTTGGATGTATTTCTTCCAGACAAGGCAACACCACCTCAGTTGGTAGAGCATGAGACTTTTAATCTCAGGGTTGTGGGTTCAAGCCCCATGCCAGGCAAAAGATTTCTGCATTGCGGGGGTTGAACTAGATGATTCTCATGGGCCCCTTCAACTCTACAAGTATATGATTCTATGATAATTGGGAGGTGGAGCAGTTTGCACTGCTTTCTGCTACCTCTTCTATATCTTTGCCTCAGGTTTCTTGAAGGCGGCATAATCTTTTGTGTGATTAGTCTGATGAGGAGAGGTCTAGCACTGTTACCTATTCTGACCTCTATTTGCCTGTCCTTCAAAACCAACTGGAATTCAAACTAGATCCTCCACTCCCAACCTACACTTGCTGTGCACTATTTGGCACACTGGTGCTATTTCAGTGCTATTTTGAAAAGAAAGGAGGGGTGGAAATCCCCCCCTAAGCCCTACAATGCTGCTGCTATTATTAATTTATTGATTAATGCTAGGAGAAGGGTACTCATATGAATAGAAAATACCCAGACACTGAGGGTTAAAAGCAAAATTAAATGCTGCAAGACATTGGTCTGGACCAAACCCTCAGGTGTTTCTGCAATATGGATAATGAATAGAGAATCCAGAAAAGTATCTTGGATTGTTTCTGACTCAATGATGCTCAGAGTGGACACACTGAAATCAGTAGACAAGTTGTCCATGGAATCTTATATAACTCCTTCTAGAAGAAATGGGAGAAATCCTAAAAGCAAGTTGCAGCTGTGTTCCTGGACATTTTACTTTTTTTAGTACTTGGAATATCCCTGTTTAAGTATGAAATCATTCTACTTTCCCTCATACTTTTACCTCCCTCTAAATGTGGTTTCATTCTTGTTTACTGTAAGGTACAATTGAATACACAATACCCAAATCATGTTTCATTAGGGCTCCTGCACAGTTGCATTTATGTTTTTCTTTTGAGCTGTTAGGTCTCCAAAACAATTGAGGAGCATGTGGTGCTTATTAAAGATTACTCAATAGGTCAGCACCATTAGGGGCTCTCAGGGATGGGGAAATGTGTCAAGACGGCTGCCAAAACCGAACAGCTGGCAGCATGGGAGTTGGCCAGCTCTGGATTAATAATTTTGAGGGTTTTTGTTTTGTTTTTTGGATTTTTTTTTGTAAAAGGAAAGTACATTCAATGCGCTGCTTTTGAAAATGATTTTTATAGCAGTGCAGGGACTAAAGTATTGAGACTTCCGCAACCAAATGGGATGTGGTAATTGAATAGCAAAATGTTTTTTAAAACCTGATTCATAGTGCTCATTATGCTTCATTTCTGGATTTAGCGTCTCTAACTTGTTCCTGTTCCAAAATACTTGCAGCAGTGGTTCTGCACATGTGGAATTGTGGTTAGGCAAGACTACATCTAAAGAACTAAAATAGTATAAGTAAATTAGGCATGACTGAAGATAATCAAATTCAGAGCTGATCCCACCTGTTTAGAGAAATTGATGTCCATGTGATGGAGGTAAAGGCTGAGGGACAAAAATAGTGTAGATATCTAAAATCCCATATTTTAAAAACATACTTAATCTGACATACTTAATCTGTGAACCCAGTATAGAGGTATGTCTTTGGACAATGCTCTCTAAGCAATGCTTTCTTTTTGTCGGGTGGAAGGGGGGGGGGAGTTATGTGTGTGACATATATGTTGACTACATTATAATAGGTATTCTTTGTAAGTCATAGTGGACTTTATAAAGAAATTTGGAGAGCAGTGTTGTTACTTAAGAGGGATAAAGGTTCATGCACTAAACTCATTCACCGTAATTGGGATGAGCACTCTCAATCCCACAGAAATCAGTAGGATGTTTTCGGTGCAGATGTGACTATCCAAGTTGTCTCAGAATTTCTCTGAAGACTCTCTGATATAGCTGGACTTTATCCAGTGTGCCAGACTTCTGAGTTTATATCCTATAATTTACTCCTGTGTGAAACAAAGAGCACAAAGTGTCTGCATTCAAGAGAATTAACAAGAGGTAGATTAGATTGGTATGACTGGGAGGCAGCAGTACACTTGTTTCACAAGCAGATTTTGACTTCCCTGGGGTGAATTCCAGAGACTTTGTTAGCAGAAAATATCAAGAGTTCTATTTTTTGCTTTGTCAGAGGCCATAAGCATAACATTGCTCACCTTTAACCAACCGATGTGGAAACAGGATGCTTTGCTTTCTCAGACATGATTTTAGGGCTCAGAATGGAGGCTGCTGATACCACTCTTTATTTTTTGTTCTACCCAAAGTACTCGTTCAGCTGATGTTTCATGGTACCATGAGAGACTGCCATGCACCTAATGAATAATCAGCTCATTAAAGCTTTGTTCCATGGGGAAATCCTATACAAGAATTACTCATGAGACATCGAGTTTCATGGCATTACAATGTGAGCCTGAAGAATTAATCATTATTCAGCTGTTATTTTATAGTCACCAGTTAATGCAAATAGATTATTAATGCTTATAAGGAGCAGACTGCTGAAATGAGTGAAAAGTCATGAATTCTGCCTCCTTCTATAAGCACCATAAATTGGTGAATTCCTGTCTTCACATATGAAATACTAGTCTGCAGCAAGGATTTGAACTCAGTGCTATGGCTACAGAAGCTGTACAGCTAACAGTGCAAAAGAGATGTGGTTCCATTTGCAAAGTTTTTTTCTTATCATTGGCTTGGCTTCTGGGACCAAAAGCCTTGAGTTTAGCTGTAGATACTTATTTGCAGACTTCTATTTAAGCACTTACTGTACAGCTGTAAACAACAATGTATTACATTGCAAAAACCCTCCTTTGAGAGGAGCTACTTATTCTGTGCCGGGCACAGAAATGCACCAGGCTGCTGAAGGAAAAGCAGAGCGTTCTGTGCTCTTCTGCTAGCCCCCAGGAAGCTAGTAACTTCTGTGGGTAGAAGGCTGGTTTAATATACCTGTAGTTACTGCAACAAGTGACTGCTCTCAAAGCAGAACACTGGATGCATCCAGACAAATGGAAGAGGGAAAACACTCCAGTTTTTTAATCTGGCCAGAGTAGTAGTTGCAACTGAGGGGTATCAGCTATTTGGTGGGTTTTTGCTCCTCTTCTCAACAGGCACCTGGTCCTGAAAAACGTGGGATTGAGACCCATTGCCACTTTAAATTTTTTGACTTCTTGTGTCAGATGGCATTAGTCAACATGGTATTCCATCCTTGTACTCATTTTAATATTACAGTGGTACCTTGTTTCTCAAACTTAATCTGTTCCGGAAGTCCCTTCCAAAACCAAAGCGTTCCAAAACCAAGGCCCTTCCTTAACTCACAGGTAGTGAGAACAACAAAGCCAAAGCAGAGAGTAGAGTTTGGGGCAGTGATGTGACCTAGAAGTAAAGCAGCAAGCTGGAGAGAGTCAAAGACCAATGTTTGACATTTGTTTGAATCTAAGGCTGTGGCTATGGGAGGAACAAGACCCTCTTGGGATGCTATGAATCCCTCCATCGCGATCTCAGGTTGTACATATGTGTAAATAAACCATATATCCTAAAGACACCACAGTCTCTGCTGTGCCTCATTCCAAAAGGAAACACAAACCCTGGTTAAGTGCTTGGGACCCCTGGAATCTCGTACTGCATTTATGCCAAAGTTGTAGGTTTGGTCTCATAGGGGAAGAGCGGCATATTCTTGCATTGCAGGAGGTTGGATTAGATGATCCTCAGGGTCCCTTTCAACTCTATGATTCCATGAGGTACCTATGCTTGGAGATTGGGGTGGCACCCAGCAATATGTATACTGTGGCCTTTCAAGGCATTTAGGGTGGTGGTGGTGGCGGTTTAGCTGCATACACTCTTGGAAGAGACCTCGAGATCTCGAGCCATTCCAATCTGGGTTCACACCCAGTTGGTTTTCTCATGAAATTGGCCTTTGTTGCCCAGACAGATTACCTTCCCCATGGGGGAGGCAAAGGAAGTATGGCCCTGCTGGATCTCTCAGTGACTTTTGATACCATTGACTATGTGTTGACGGTTGGAGGGTCTGTTTTATGGTGGTTCCACTTCTACTCGCAGGGATTGTCTCAGTAAATAGCATTGGAGGACTATGTCGGTACTGTGGTAAATTAGCTGCAAGGTCCCACGAGGCACTATTTATCCCCAGTGCTATTTAACACGAGGCCAATGAAAACAGTCATGAGGAGATTTGGGGCACAGTGTCATCCATAGACTGAGTCCTTCTAAGACAAAGACACTATGGGTGATTGATTCCCAGGGAATTTGGGATATTTGCTTGTTATAAGGAAGGAACAGGAGTGCAGTTTAGGGGTCCTCTTGGGATCATCTTAGTTCATGGACACCCAGGTGGCCTCCATGGCATAATTTCTACCACCAGCTTTAGCTGGTGCATCAACTCCAATCTTTCCTGGACAGGGATAACTTGGCTGCTGTGATTCTTGCACTGGTAACTTCATGTTTAGACTCCAGTAGGTGCAGTGGAGGCTACATCTGGTGAGACTGTTGCAGTCTGGATGATGAGTGGTGCCCCTTACTAGGCATGTCAAGACCAGGCCTCTTGCCTTATTCCAGTATGGAGGGATCTTCATTGACTGCCTAAAAGCTACCAAGCCAGTTTTAAGGTATTGTTTCTTCCATATAAAGGTCCAAATATCTCTGGACTAGGTTACCTGAAAGACCAACTTGCCCATCACCACCTGGCAAGAGTGTTAATGTAGCAAATGGAACCCAATTAACTCTGTCATGGCCTGATGATTATCAGTGTGTACGTAGTAATGCAGAGGCAGGCTTTTTCCCTAGTGGCATCAGAGAGGGCCCATCTGTATCGGCATTCTGACAGCTTCTGAAGACGTACCTGTTTCCACTGGCATCCCCTTGATTTCTTGATCTGAATATCCTGTCCTTCAGTTTCTGTATTGACTAATGGTACTGCTTTAATTATGGATATTTAGATTTTAATGGTTTTGTGCACCTTGAGTTTTCTGTTTTTTAAACCATTTCAAAATCTATGCTGGAATCATAGTACTATAGATAAACGAATAAGTAATATAAATGTGAGCCTGTCCTTAACATTTGTAGTAGCCTAATTTTTAGTAGCAATTTATAACACAACATAAAAGACTTGTTTCACTTAAATCTTTCTTTCTTTCTTTCTTTCTTTCTTTCTTTCTTTCTTTCTTTCTTTCTTTCTCCCACTTGAACTTCTTCTGGAGAGAGAGAAAAAGAGACTCTGATTTTATACACATTTCCCTGCTGATGACCAACAGATTTATATTGTAATACAGTAGAAATCTGGGAACCACCTGTGCAGCTAAAATGGCTTCTAAAGATAAAATCTATTATGCCTCTTGAAAGGCCATTTTGGTCTCCAGAGGAAAAAGGCAATTTTGACTTGACTGGGACCTCATGTATTGATCTTACACAGGAGGTGTTAACAGAAGAGAGAGAGATTAATCTGAGGAAGAAGGTGTTCTCTCTGCCTTGTGGAACATGCCCCAGAATGGTTCTAAAGGAGTGTAAAAAGGAATACTTATTCTTTGAGAGAATGTGCATTTCATTCTTAAACTTTTCCAAACTTCATCTGTTCATAGGGAGGAGCCAGTGTGGTGGAGTGCTTTAAGTGCTGGATGAGGACTTGGAAGACCATGGTTCAAATCCCTACTTGGCTATGAAGCTCACTGGGTGACCTTGAGACAGTCACTGACTCTCACCCTAACCTACCTCACAGGGTTGTTGTGGGGAATAAATTATTGGGGGGAGAGGCATGTACAATACCTTGAGCTCCTTGGAGACGAGGTGGAGTACAAGGGGAAAACAAAGACTTTTGTGCTGTTCACAAGGCATTTGGCTTGGCAGTCTTTTATCATAGCACAATATGCAGTTCCGTAACCAGCAGTTTGCCAGTCGACTTCTGTTCCCTTTTTATGTGGCCTTCTGGAATAGCTGAGTAGTGAGGCACTTGCTGGTCCAGGTTTTCTATCCCAGACCCGAGCCAAAAAGGACTGACCTGACTTGCAGTGAAAGCAGGCTTGTTCCACGGCAGAGCAAGGCAAAGGAGCCCTTCAGGACTCACCTGTCACAGGGCAGCTATGACTCTTGCAGCCTGGAGCAGCCTGGGCCTCAAAGCCATTCCTGTAACTGTCAGGTGGGGAAGCCCCACAACATCTTTGCAAGCATGGCTCCCCACTGGAAGGTGTGAAAACTAGAGGATCCTCAGCTGTGTAATACCCAGAAAACTGGCCCTGGAGTTTTTGGGAAGGTGGCTGCTGCTGTGGCTTCCTCTGGCATTATAACTGCCCGCCCAAGATGCCACCGAGACAGTTGTATTGGTCTTCAGAATGGGGACACAGGAAGCTGCCTTATACCAGGTCAGACTATTTGTCCATCTAGCCTATTTCAATTGGCAGTAGATCTCCAGAGAGATGCAGTGAGATGCCTTTCACTGCTATATAAATACTTTCAAGTGCATATGCCATTTGATCCTCCATATGCAAAATAAGTGCTTTGCCACTGAGCGGTTCCCCCTCCCTGACCAACCTCCTGGCTAAGACTGGGAGAATTGCACTGAATGCGAGACACCTGCATATGAATAAATTTTTCTCTAGGCTTTGGGCAGTCTGGGTCAATGGACAACCTTCTGGGTAGTAAGCTGTGAAAATATGTGCTAGATCATTGGCACAACTTATAGGCCTCAGGGTCCAGGAGCACAGATGATTTGCCATTAGATACTAATCCCATCCTATAATATATGCAGCTCAGGATGGAACTTCCAATACTTGATAACTTTTTAGGAAAAACACCTGCCTACTGTTTAGTGATGTATGATGCTGTTCATTATTTAATATCCAGCTGAAAAAACCATTTGAAAAGTGTGGGTGCTTGAATACCTCCCCCGCCAGCAGTGTTAGGGCTTCTAATTGTTTTTCTCTCTGATAACAACATTTTTCTTAGTGGTTAGAACACTGAACAATTTATACACACACAGACCACACACATTCCTAGTTTCAAGCCCATGGAAAGAATACTTTTGAATTCAATAAGCTTTGAATCAGACTTCTTATGATTTTTATATTTTTGCCTTTGGTACAAAAAGTCAGTCAGTGAGCTCAGCAACCGTGCTGCAGTAATCTGAGTTATGCAGTTTAGGCTCTATTATATATTATTTGCAGTGCCAGATTTACATATAAGCTAAACAAGCTATAGCTTAGGGCCCACTCTTTTGGGGGCCCCAAAAAATTTAAAGGGAAAAGCACTGGGCGTACATTTTCAAAATAAAATAAAAAATAAAAATAAAATGGCTTTAGATACCTATTAGGTCCATAAATTACCATATAGCATATATTCAGCACAAAACCCAGCAACAATCTGTTGTTGACAAAGGACAGCTGGACATATAAAGGGCCCCATTACCTTCAGTAGCTTAGGGCCTCATCAAACCTAAACCCGGCTCTGATTATTTGTAATGTATTATACATTTAAAGCAGCATCATGTCACTTTAAAACAGTCGTGGCTTCCCCAAAGACTTCTGGAAACTAGTTCAGGTTTCTGAAAGTTGCCAGAAGACCCCACTTCCTCTTACAGAGCTACGGCTCCTAGAGTTCCCTGAGAGGAGGAAGCGACGGTTAATCCAGTCTGAGAATTGTAGATTTGTGTGGGAAAACAGGGATCTCCTAACAACTCTTGGCGCCTCATACCACCTGCAGTTCCCAGGTGCACTTCCTACCTGCAGATGGTGAGTTTGTACGTTGAAAGGTTTGTGTCCATTACTTTTTAAAAAAAATAATAATTAAAGTTTTCTTGGTTTATAAAGGTATGCGCAATATCACATTTGTTGAGACATTAGGGTTACATTAGGAAGAAAAAGGGGGGGGGGAGAGGTGGAGGGGGCGTTTGTGTCCATTACTGAGACCGGATTACTGAAGTTCTTTCTGTGGTAGCTGATGTTGGATAAAACATGATATCACAGTTTCGAAAAATGAGCATGTGAAATCTGTCTCCACTAAGGCTTGCAATCCCATCTCATCTTACGATTTTGTTAAATCCTGGTTCTGTTGAGCTTTTTGTTTTGGCTTGAAATCTATTTTTGTCCCTGATTGTGTTAATATTGCTCATCTGACTAAGGGGTGTGTGTGTGTGTGTGTGAGAGAGAGAGAGAGAGAGAGAGAGAGTTTTTAAGATAAAAGAGAGTTCCAGAGTTCTCTCTCTCTCTCTCTCTCTCTCTCTCCTCCTGGGTTTGTTGGTCATGGGGTTATTACATTTTGCAGGAATTAGTTTAAGCAGAATTTCAGAGAGAAATAGCTGCAAGGCTGCATCCCTACTCTCACTGGTGCACTTGGGTTTCTGTAGCATTAAAAACAGTTGCTAAGATGCCTGGGAAGCAGCATTCAATATCACTGCCACCATCGATTCTTAACTGCGGTGGCCCATAACCTTGGATGAGGCTGTCAGTTTAGTGGATCTCACTCCTGAGTAATGCACATAGGTTTGCAACCTTGGCCGTTTGCAGATATGACACCCTTAAATGTCACTTTCAGCCTCTTTCTTGCTATTTGTATTGCATTGCTTTGTTGGGATAAAAAACAAAAAGGGATGTAAAGTGAAAACTACATTGTAACCAATCTCATTACAGACTATAGAAATGCAACTAGCACTTCAGTGTCATTTCAAAAGACAAAGGGAGCTATTCTTCTTAACAATAGCCCCCAAGTTCCATTGCAGCAAAATGCTGGGGCAGAAAGTTCAGATTTGTATTTCTTACAGGCAGTGTGTAGCCAAAATCATGTCTGTGGTGACCATCGTCCAGCTCGGCTTATGGCCCACCAGTGGGTTGCAAAGGCTGTGCAAGTGAGTCACAGACTTTATAAGTAAATGCAAAATAATTACTGGTTGTCCTTAAATGGTATGAACCATCTTGGTTGTGAGTCCTGGAAGACCTGCTCCCTGCCTTGCAGGCCTTTTCCACCTGGCCTGGGAGAGTGGGGCCCGGCCCCTGACTGACTTTCAGCTACAAAAACTGAGGCTGCTGAACAGACTTTTGGGCTGGGGTGTTGTTTAGGGGGTTTTGTTGGAAGAGGTTATTGCTATTATTGCTATTGATTGTTTTAAGGGTTGCCATATGTCCGGAAACAGTGTCTGAGCGGAAATCACTTCAGTGTCTGTTAAAATCCATGTCGGAAGTGTAGATTTTTGCAAATTTCCTTTAAAATAGCTCAAAATAATAACAATTCCAGATTTTCACTTTTTGAAGTATGGCAACCCTATTTTTTGTTTCTTTATTGTAGATCTTATTATGATTTACGTGGAAATTGTTTCCATTTCATTGTGTACTTTTGATGTTTTATTTACTGTTTATGACTCCTTTTGTTATGTTTGTAATGTGTTTTTTCATGTTGAGCATGCCTTGAGCATGGTTTTAACTGTGGGAAGATGGCATACAAATAAAATACTCCCAAATTTTGTTTTGTTGGCCTGCTATAATGCTGTGTTGGCACATGTAACTGAATGCTGGAGAGGCATAACTCTTGCATTTTAACACTTGGGAATTGCTCACTGGCAGGAAGTCCAGTGACAATTTGTCAGAAGGTGCTCATAGTTGTTAAGTAAATTTTTGCTCGGATGCCTCACATAATGGTTATAAAACTGGCAAACTTTTGGTTAAAATGCACAAACCTGACAGCTGCTGAAGACCTATGGTCTGAAAACCATGTAATAATAAATCAACAGGTCTCTGTACTGAGTAAATGTGGACTTGTGGGTTGCCATACCAAGAAGCTGGGAAGTAGTAAAAAGTACATACACACAGGTAGGTAGCCGTGTTGGTCTGACACAGTAGAAATATATAAAAATAATAATAAAAAATTGTCCAGTAGCACCTTAGAGACCAACTAAGTTTGTTTTTGGTACGAGCTTTCGTGTGCATGCACACTTCAGGTATGTTCTTGGTATGAGCTTTCGTGTGCATGAAGAAGTGTGCATGCACACGAAAGCTCATACCAAGAACAAACTTAGTTGGTCTCTAAGGTGCTACTGGACAATTTTTTTAACACACATATATATATATATACACACACACACATACACCAGCCCTAGCGAGTCCTAATGGGGGACATGGCCCCCTCATTTGGCGTTGACTCCAGGCTTGGTGGGATCTTCCAGAAATGCATAGGTAGTTCTGCTGACATATTTTCTCTCGCTCCTCTTCTTCTTTTTAACCAAGGAAGGTCATATGTGAATCTTTAACCTCATTTGGCTGAGTATGCTAGTCTGGCATGAAGGAACAAGAGGCAGAAGCAATTTGGCACCTACACTCTGTCCTACATTGGTGCTTCCAGCCAATCAAGATGCTGACCGCTGCATTCTAGCTATGGAATACCTTTCCTAAGGAGGGTTGCCTAGCACCATTTTCCTGGTCTTTTCAGTAGCAGCAGAAGACTTCTCTTCACCCAGGGTATTGCTGCATGGATCTGGGAAGGTTTATTTCATTCACATCTCTGCTTCACAGCTTGATTGTTAAGTGATGACTAGAATTTGGTTTCATTTATTAACGTATCCAAATAACCGTGTTTGCATTTTATTACATTTGGACCTAGCATTGGATAATTCTTCAATATATTCTCAGCTTAAAATCAGTTGATCAGAAGAGGTTTAAACTCAAGTTGTGCTGGTCTAAGTTGACATAAGCATGTAATTATTTAAGTGAATCTGTCCTGTATAAATATGGCTTCATGTGCCCTGTGCTTTAATGGTATGCTGATTTTCTCCCCTCTCTTTCCAAATTTTGTGGCAGATACTGAGGGAGTGCTGAGTGACATAAAATTACACTTTTTATGGTCGTTTTGAAAGCACATCCTGTCCTTGTAAAACATTGAAAGGCATTTTGTTTTCATTAGAGCTGTGTGAGTAGGTTTTAACAAGCAAGTATTAACCAAGCAATTTGGAGATAACATTTGCAGCACAGCAGAGTGCTAGCAGTACAAATTTAATGGCAGCAATTGTCCTAAAAATCTGGGAGAGATTTCAGTGCAAAAAGGAGAAAGAGCTGGGTACCGAAGACAGAACACATGAAGGAAAGTGGGTTGTAAGAGGTGCTGGATAGGATCTTGTTCCCAGGAAGTAACAGAAAGCTAGTTTTTCTGCAATATCCTAAAACTATCGGAGGCTGCAATTCTATACCCACTTTCCTGGGAGTATGCCTCACTTAAATCCAGAGGACTTACAGTGCAATCGTATGCATGTCTGTATAGAAGTAAGAGACTGAACACCCATATCATGTGGCCAGAATGTATATATTGGAAGCATTTTTATGATAAATTTGAGCTCCATCTGATGACTGTGGGCATAAAAGATGTGGCTTCATGATGTTTTGACAGCAGTTATGTATGCTCTTTATGGTGTATCTAACCTCTCCAATCAAGCTTGTGCTGTTTCCCCATGTGTCTGCATGGATTGGAGCAACATGATCTGTGCAGGATCTGTACAGGAGGCTCTATTGTAGTGATGTGGGAACTTTACCCAAGTACCTTAACTTCTCTTATCGGAATCTACCATACTTCTGACTTAGCCCAAAGTGCTGAATCAGAAAAGCAGGATGTTATTGTGCAGGCAAGTCATTTGTTTAATGACAGCGGTAACTGATTTTTCACAAAATGCCCCACCATTGGTACCCATGGCAGTGTTTCTGTACATAGGATGCTTAGTGCTAAGGTTTAGTCTTATTATGAGTTAAGTTTATAAGTGCTGCAACTGGATTTTTGTATAGACTGAGCCAATCCTGATTGTACTGGATTTGATAACCGTTACGCTACATTTGCCTTCAGCTCTGCTGAATGAAGTACTATTGCCTCTAGTCTATTTTGGGGGGAACTCTGCTGAACTCTGCAACGTGTTTAAGGTTTTCCTCCACATGTATGACATACAAATGACAACGTATGAAAATATGGTGTAAAGCTTTGGGGTCTCAGGACTTGAAGAAAGTACTGGCCCTACTTGTTGGTATTCCTTCTGCATATGTCCATGCAGAAGTGGGCTTGGCCTACTGTCCAAGCTAGAATACAATTTTGGCTCTTAACATTCTGCCATCAGTGGCGGACTCTGGGCTCTCAAATTTCAGTGGCACCCTGTGTGACGCTAAAATTTGGCACCTCCTGCTTCTTGCGCTCCATTCTACAGCTTGGTTGTATCACCCCCTGCAGTGTGCCACCCAATGCGACTGCACCAGTTGCACTACCCTAAAACCGCCTCTGCTGCCATCTTCATGTTTGGTCTCTGTAGTTTATTGTTCATTCTTAAATTCTCAAAAGCAAGTTACTGTTTTACATATACTTGCTGGAGAACTTTGTAGTGAGCTGACTAGGATCCAGTCAATGTCCATATAACAGTTAAAGCATTTTGTGTATGTGCAAGCTTATTTGACAGATACACTGTACATTCTTTCAGATGTTCTAGGCTGTATCCATGTATCATCAGAAAGCTAACTGTTTGGAGTTAATTTATTCAGTTCCACATAGAATTGCTTTTACAGAATTGAGGCTTAGTGTCATGCCCTTTGCCTTTCTGGATGACCACTATTGGGCACAACATTTCTGCGTATTTTGCAAAACAGCTGTAGAGGACGTTATTCATTATATTACTTAGTGCCATCTATATAACTATCCATGGCTTTTCCCCCCAGCCAGAACTCAGTTCTGGCACCTCTCAGGTGGGCATCATTGCCAGTATAAGAGACCAAGGGAGGCATTCATGGTGAGTTCTGGCACCTCTTTTTCTAGTAAAATAGCATTGTAACTATCCTTCTGAAAAAAATATCTGTTTGAGTTTAGCCACAGGAAAACTTTTGTGACACAATGTGAGTTTGTGTACTTTTTGCTGTTAGGTGAGAAAAATGTTGTTACTTTGCATACTACTCTATTTGTGGTGGCAGCCGGGAAATTAAGAGCCAGGTTTGTGTCTTGACACTGAATACCTTTTTGTCTAAACAATAACAGCTCCTCCAGTATTAGGTGAGGTGACACTTTTTGACTCTCTTAAAGGCAACAGGGACCACTGCTTACAACTATTGTAGTATTTTGTTACATAGATATTCATGAAAGGGTTAACGTTGATATGATTTCCAGTAAAAAGTACAAATTTACAGAACTCTTGTCAAATAATGGCTGCCTGTATTAGAAGTTTTTGTTCATTAATCTTCATGGTGTGATCATTTTTTGCTCTTAGAATCTCAGCTCCTTGCCTAGGATTTTGAGTCATGGTAGCATGTGTTCAACAAGCCTTGACAATGGAAAAGTAGGTAGAAAAAATAAACAAAACATGAAATTCACCAGCTGAAATGGATTGGCTGAAAGGCAATTCTGCATTCCTTACCCTGGCACTTGCCTTTTTAGGAATTCTCTAACATTGTCTTTCTTGCACTTGGAGATTCTACAAGAAGTACTTTTCCTGTCAACACATCCAGTTAAAACAGTTTTTTCTTTTCTCTTCCCTTCCAGTGACTTATTAATTAGCCCTGTCATAGTACATGGAAGAGCCAAATGAAATAACAGTCTCTTTGCTAGGTACTGTGCTTAAATATAAAAATTATAGTCCCCGTTGTCAGTAACCTATAATCAAAACACTTAAAGCAATCAAAGGAAACAGGCTAATTATTTTAGTAGGTAAAACTTCTTGATATTCACAAGACTGCATAATACTGGTTGTTTAGTCCTTAACAAAGATATAGACATACACACTCTAAATAGAATGTATGGATCATGTATATTAAACGATATGCAGTTTATTTTTAAATAAATAAATCCTGGTTCAAGGAGAAGGAAAAAACGAGCTTCTCTTGTTTTTTTTTAAGAAGAGTATTTAGAGTGGAGTAGCAATTTAAACATACAATGCTGGAAAAAATATATATACATGACCACCACCCATCCCATATCTAACGCAACCTTTGAGAGTAATCTGCATTCATTTATTTTCCTCATGTATGCTAAAATTTGCAGTGATACCCAGTCTTGTAAGTTTAATCATTGCAGGAATGTGTGGTGGTGGAGGACATAACCTGGAGTCTAGTTTTGTGGGCTTCATATGGTATACAGAAAGTTATTTAAAGAGCCATTCTATGCCCAGGCTTCTGCATTTTGTCTGTCCCTGCTTCTTGTGGTGAATGTGTTGCTGCTGCTGCTGCTGCTGCTGCCCTCTGTGGAGCAACTACCAGGACAGTACCTAGTCTGGGCTGACCCAAAACATTTCCTTGCCTAAGGTAAAAGATGAGATCCCACCCCTTCCTGTTCCTTATGCAGAAGGTGACTGGCCTGAGACTGGAGTCTCACGTCAACACTGGCAGCAGGACAGTGTCCTCCACCGTACCTGACAGCACCAGGCTAGCTTCAGTGGCCTGTGTCCTCCCCCCTTTGCTGCTTATCCTTGTCCTTTATCATCTCCCTCAGTCTGTCCAACAGTGGGGCTAGCACTTACCCACACTCATCCCTGCAGCTCCAGCATCCATGTGTGGCAGAAGGCTGGGAGTTGACTCACAGCTTTGTGAGACTGAGCCGCCCTGGGTTTCAGCTTTCAGGAGACACTGACAAGTTCATTTCCTGTGACGGGAGCTGTTATAACATTTGTCTAGCTGCCTGGTATGACAGATTGGAAATGAGAGACAGTCTTCTTTGCTGCTAGTCTGCACGCTGTTGATGTTGCCTGAGACGTTGAATAAATTTCTTGTTGGGGGGCACAGCCAATAAGAGCCGGAGTAATTTTCCTTACCAAAGCAGAGACCGTGTACTTAGAAAGTGAGTGTTGGGAAAGAGAACCAGAGTTCTCAATGATCTTGGTGTGAAGTGCTGAGAGGATAGCTACCAATGCACTTCCTAAACCATGCGAAGAGAAGGAACCTTTTGTAGTAAGCTCAGTGAATACAAAGACTGACTTTAGCTCTTGCTTGGTGGTAGTAATTTCTGCTGGGCAAATGACATTTCTGACACCTAGGCTGTGGGTGGCAAAAGCCACTTTCCTGTGGTATTGAGTA